TGTGTGTGTGTGTATGTGCATGTGTCTGTCTTGTCTGTCTGTCTGTACACACACAGACGTGTGTGGCACGGAGGATTGAATCCAGGACTTTCACTAAATTGCTCAGGTGGGGCTCAATCTTGCAGTTTTCCTTCCTCGGCCTCCCAGAGCATACTAGGATTACAGACATGTACCAACACCCAGCAGGAGGTGCCATTTTCCAAACTTTCCCCTCAGTATAACCTAGGCAGAGCGCTGGGTACAGATTGGGTTATATTGAGGAAAAACAAAATTATATAGCTACAGACAGATATATGAAAAGTGCAGGGAGGGTGCTAGGTGTGTACAATCCCAGCCCTCAGGAGGCTTGAGGCAGAGGATCACTGCGAGTTCAAGGCCAGCCTGGGCTACAGAGCAAGCCCCTGTCTGAAATGAAATGCAGGGAAGTGAAGTGACGCGGAGTAACAGAAGGGGGAAATGAGGCAAGGTAGCACCTAGCATTTCACTATCTTACACTTTGCGCTTCTTAGGCCAGAGCTGCCTGTAGAGAGGCCTCAATTTTCTAAGCAATTACTTAAGACTCTTTTCTCCCTTCAGAGTGTACAGAGCCCTCAAAAATTTGGCTTGAATAAGGAGGAAGTACTGAAAAATACCGACTCTCTGACAGAAGTTTTGTACTTGCTCGTCTAGTGGTGAAGAGTCATAAAGCATCAGGAAGCGTTATACTCTTTCCACCATTGTTAAGCTTTGAATGTGGTTTGACCATAAAGTAAGATCCTAATGCACACAGTGCTGGGAGAGCTCTTTCATATTTCCTTTTTTTTTTTTTTTTTTTTTTTGTGGAACCGGGGATTGAACTCAGTCCCTTGCACTTGCCAGGCAAGTGCTTATTCCACTGAGCCATCTCCCCGGTCCAATAAGGAAATTTTTTTTTTTTTTGCTCCGAATGCTTTCAGGGCAGGTTTGGCTGGCTGGAGTTGTGGGGATGGAACCACAGCAACCTGAGCCTGACTGCTTTGTTGAAGCAGCCACTTAAAGAACTGAGCTAAGGGGCAGGCCCCCTGGGAGAGCTCTTTCAGAGAGCCTTTGTGTCACCAGATTTTTGCCATTGCCCAAACCCTGCTAAGGTTATTTTCTGGAAGGCTTTTGGGAATGTTTATATTGTACCTCTCCTAAATAATCTCCATCTATACTAGATTCTGTGGGCCACCATTAAAAGAAAAAAAAGCACGAACTGAGTGCCTCAAAATAACGAACATTTATCGTCTCACAGTTCAAGAGGCCAGGGGCCTCCTGAAATCAAGGGGCCAGCGAGCCACGCCCCCTCTGGAAGGTCCAGGGGAGAGCCCTTTGCTTCTTCCAGCCTCCAGCAGAGCTCCGTGACTTCTAGCTCCACCACTCATCTCTGCTTTGCACCCACATAATCTTCTCTGTCTTTTTTCTTCTTTCTGGGTCGAATACAGATGCTTACCATTGGATGTGGTGGCCACCTTTATAATCCAGGATGATCCCTTTGTAAGACACTGAACTTCACCTACAAAACCCTGTTTCTCCTGATAAGATCACATTCACAGGTTCCAGGAATTTGGAGGTCACATTTCATTCCACCCTACTAATACCATACACCTCACTCCCAATCATTTTTTTTTAAATCATGACCTGGCCTCCTTTTTTACTTTTGTTATTTTGGAGACCTATAGCAGATGTCTGAGTCCTAAAAGCACATCAAGAGTTAGATCACCCTATGCTGCTGTTGGGAACACATAAGCAGTGAGTTCATAACATTAATATAAGATTTAGAAAGCAAAAGAGTGAACGTATTTTGGAGCAGATATCAATCCATTTGTTTATATATTTGTTTTAAGATTTGTCCTGTATTTCTCTAAGTCTTAATAAGGACATAAAATAATGAAATGAAAGTACATGTTATTAAAAAGGTATAGTCTAGTTTATTTCACTTTTATTTGAAACTTTTAACAAAGACTTAACACTCACTTTAAAGCTGGATATTAAAGAAGAAATTGAAGATGAGGAAAAGACGATTGAAGATTACGTGGACGTGAAGATGAGCGATGCGGACTCCACTTCAGTTGAAACAATGTACTCTGTTGCTGCTCAGTGTCTGCATGAGAAGAAGAATAAGAGGCCAGACATTAGGAAGGTACTGAGCTTTTACATTCATTTAAAAAGGAGGGGGATGGGTTTGTCCTTTTTCCTGTACATACATTTCAGATCCACTGTGTAATATGATTTTTTTGTTCTTTCTTTTTAAAAGGTTCAACAGCAGTTGCAAGACATAACAGCTTCTTAAAATTTTATTAGCATAATGGAACTCAGGACGTTGCATTTGCCAGGCAGATGCCTGTGCCACTGAGCTATATCCCTGGCTTGTAACTTTTTATATACAGCTCTCGACACCATATTTACAGGTATTTTTTTCTAAGCGTGCTTTACCTTTAAGAAGCCAGCATGGGGCAGTGCAGTGCTATAAAAGCATGTATTGAATCTCCAACAAATGAAGGACAGCCATGCTGTCAGCACTTAGCTGTACTCAGTGTCAGCCTGGGACTCAAGTAATCCCTGAGACATTGCCTTCAAGCTGCACCAAACATGGTTAGGAAACCACAAGATGAGCAGGAAGAGCCCTGGGCTGTAGGTCCAAAGCCCGACTGACCCCACTACTGCTAGAACCTTGGGCAAGCTCTTAGCTACGTTGAGCCTTTTTTTTTTAATATATAACATTGGATTAATATACACTGTGCTCCTCTGATGGTCATGAAAATAAATGATGCACAATATGTAAACATTTTATAACTATTAAAGTGATAACAGCATTTAAAGTTTATAGATACAGCTATAAAATGTTGACACTATTTTCATCATCCCCTGCGAAGCAAATACTCCCTGATGAAATGCCAATGGTGGTGTAGCCATTGTTAGACCATGTTATACAGCAGAGTTGAAAGGATTTTGCAAATGCAGGTAAGGGCACTACCAACTAACTTTGAGCCTCGAAAGGCAGTGGGTGGGATGGGCCTGGGAGAATCAGGTGGACCCTGATAGAAAGAGAGCATCTTCCTGTGGGCCTGGAAGAAGCGGGCCACCCTGCAGCTGCCAACCAGCAGGAAGCAGTGGCCCCAGCCCTTTGGCCAAGGACTGAGGCTGAAAGCTCTGAGAAGCAGCAGCTTTCCAGTGGTACCACAGCCCCAGCTGACTGCGGCAACCACTGTGTGAGATGCTCAGGAGAAGACCTGCTTGAGGTATGCCAGGACCTCAGCCATACTCCATCGTGAAATAATAAAGGAGTTGCATTAAGCTACCAAAGTGGCAGTAATTTATTATGCAGTAGAAAATGAATACAGAGTCTCGCATGAAGAGCCTTCTGCGATGATCCCATCATGTTTATGGTATTCTAGGGGGTTTTCCTCAGGCCCTGGCCTTTGGTAATTGGCTGCTTTATCACAGAAAGTGAAACACCTCCGCTAGTCCCAGCAAATATATTTCTTAACTATTTCTCCTAAGCACAAAATTCTTGGTTGGTTTATATCATTTGAAAATTCACTTTATAGATTGGGGGGACCGGGTGAAGTAAGACATTTACTATGCTTGAAATTTGACAGAAAATCTGCTGTGCATGGGAAGAACACCTGGCGTCTGCGTGTTTGCGCATTCAGCAACCCGTGTCGTGACCTTTGTCAGTTCCCATCCAGAACGACAGTAGGCAAAGCGAGACCAGCAGAAGATATCTTCTGCAGCACACTGTGGAGACTTTCCTAAACAGTCTCCAGGGAAACTTCAGTGACCTTTGGAAATTAAGTATGAAAGCAAAACAGAAGCATTTGCTAGTTGGAAAGGTAAAAAGATAAATAATAAAACCCTTCTATTCAAACTCATCTCAACAGGAACCAACACAGTTTGAGACACTGTGGTTTATAACACCTGATACTTATTTTAAATACAATTAAATATAATTTGATAATTTATGGAAATAATGTGTAAAATAACATATATGTGGCTCTAAGGATTCTGATCATACCATATTAAAAAATTAGTAAACTATTTCATTGATTTCAAAAATGTCAATGTAATTTGAGATGTTTCCCATTAACAGCATATTTCTGAAGTGTAGCTCAGCTTCCCACAAGCTGAGACTACCTCAACTCCTGAAGGCAACACTATAGTAAACTAAAGCTACCAGATCAGATGTTAAAGATGTGGTTTCTTCCACTGGCCTGAAAGTTTCTAACCTGTCACAGACCTCTAATCATGTGTGACTCTTAACAGAGAAGGAACAACAAACAGAGTGGTTGCCCTTGGCCAGTACTGGACTGGAGTTGTGCAGAAGATCTGAAGAGGGCCAGCAATATAGCTCAGCGGCACAGAGCCTGCCTGGCAAGCACAAGGTCCTGAGTTTGATTCCCTGTATTAAAAAAAAAAAAAAATGTTCTGATGAGAAATAATGTACAGGCCCCTTTGAACTGTCTCCCTCCAGACAGACTTGCAGATATCTCATGACAGCTATCCATGTAACCCCCTAATTTTTTTTAGATTAAAAAAGCACCAGTGAGAGCTCAGTAGTCTGAATGCCTGCCTGGCAAGGACCTGTGCTCAAATCTCTGGCACCGAATGCTGCGCCAGCCCTGCTTCAGGCGCTCAACCACAGAAATGGGGTGTTGGCAGGGCACGTCTGTAATCCCAGCACTGGGGAGGCTGAAGCAGGACAGTTGCTGTGAGTCTGAGCTACATAGTAAGAACCTGTACTAAATACATAAAATTTTAAAAAAGGATTTTAAAGATCCATTAGGGATTGTAAACTTAGGATATTTTCATTTTGCCTCCAAGAGCTGACTGCAAGCCAGTGAGTGGTGATTGTATAGCTCAGAACCACTGGCCTACCCAGTTTCCAGAGGAGCAACCACATTTCTATGTTTCTGATGTATTGTTTTGCAGATGAGCCAGTTAAATTTTTTAATTAGAAGCTTTTCTTAATGTTCTATGCAAGATAAGCAAATGTTAACAGTGTTTCATGAGTGCGTATAATGTTGACATTGGGACCATTCTGCTGGCTAGATTGCATCTTTGAGATAGTGTTCCCATCTCTTGTAAGAATTGAAAATTGAATGAAGAGCTGCATCCTACCTGCTGCTTCCATAGTGACAGAACTTTTAGTTTAAGGAAATCGACAGGCTGTTCTATGTCAAATCCCTAGCACAGAGAGGAGGAAAGAAAATAGAAATACAAACTACCACCTACACTTACAAAACAACTAAGCAGTTGTGATAGGAAACATTTTGATACCACTAATTAGTAGCCTTAAAGGTTAGTTGAAGCACAGCCAAACACCTCAGAATCATTCCCCTTGGTATTCTTCTTTGGTCAGCGTAATGGTTTGTGTCTAGATACAACCCCAAAGCCTCATGCAGTCGTGCTGTAAGCTTCTGGAGTTTTTGGCTGATTCATGGTTCCACGCTGGGTTTAGAGGTATGAATGCCACATCTGCCTTAGAGTAGGCAACCTGAATGCAGTAAGGGAGGAAAAGGCTTGCTTACTGCTGCTTTTCCCTTTCTGCCCTTGCTTTCGCTGTTTTCTGCCACCACAAACTGTTGTCCGCCATGTGCCACTCTGCCTTGGAGCCAGCCAAGGATTGAAACCACAAACTGAGCTAAATAAACCTTTCCTTTTTTATTTTGGGTGTTGGGTATTTTGTTCCAGTAATGAGAAAAAAGTAAATAGGACAGAATTGGCTACCAAAGAAGTGGGGTATTGTGACTAAACCTGACCATGTGGTCAAGAGCCTTTGGGAATGGCTTGTGAGAGGAGTTTGGAAGGGTTTGAAGATAGCACCTAAAAGAGTAGAGCAAGAACACCTTAGGCTGTTCCATGTGGGAGGGTCTGGTCAGAGCTCAAATGCCAGAAGGCAGATAGAAATCCTGCTGGTAAAGACCGGCCTGGGAGGTTTCTGCTGGGGAGGACTGCATTGGCCGCTGGACTCCAGATGTATAGTATAGCTTGGCAGAAAGTTTGTGTTTTGCTTGTGTCCAGAGACTGCCTGAGATTAAGGGAGGCAGACTAATCTGGCAGAAGAAACTTTAAGGTAGTTGAATGCTGAGGCTACGGCATGACTATAGTTGGGGGCTTTTAGCCAGATTGTGTTGTGAATCAAGAGCAAAGAGCCCAGCAGGGTGATTTAAAACATTGTGGGTTTGGGCAGAAAGGAAGCTCCAGTAAAGTGGTGGACTGCAATACACAGCTGAAGAGATTGTGATAACTGGGAAGGGACTGAGAGTAGCTGGCATGGCCTGAGGGCAGCAAAGAAGCAAGTCTCCACCCTTTGCAACCTCAAATCTGCAAAACTGAAAGACTGCTTTGAGGAAAAATTCGCAGAGTGTGCCATGTTCCAGAATAGCAGTGGCTGCACCAGGTTAGAGGATGGCAATGGCATAGAGAATTTGTTCTTCAGAATCAGGTTCAGAGCTCTCAGCAATCCAGGTATTTGACCCTTACAGTCAAGAAGTAAAGCCTGGCTACTGTTGCAGCTGGCAGCAAACCTTGGCATTATCCTCGTGGTGCTGGTTTTAGGTGCCTACAGAATTGCAAGAATTCTGAGGTTAAGAAGGCTTGCACCTAGATTTCAGAAGGCCTAGGAGGCCAGGCAGCGGGCCCTTGAGAGGGCAGTGTGTGAAGCCAAAGGTACAGTGGAGACACCAGAATTTTGGAAAAATCAGGAATGTGGACCATCTACAGAAAGCTATATTGAAGAGTGGGCCTAAGAGAGAAGCCCTGGGAGCTGCAACCACTGGAAATGCTATAGGGGTGCAGCCATGCAAGCCCTTTGGGACTCATAGTTTACCACAGGTTGCTTCAGATGTCCTGCATGGAACTTAATGTTTGTCCTGCTGCATTTTGGACTTGCTTTGGTCCTATTCCTTTGTATCCCCATTTATACCTCTTGAAGTGGTAATGTCTATCTTGTGTCCACAACTAAGAGTTTGCCTTAGATTTTTTTTTTTTTTTTTTTTTTTTTTTTTTTTTTTTTTTTTCAGCTCAGCTGGCCCTGAGGGCAAGGCTGGCTTGGCATGTGGTGCCAGAGATCAAGCTGCAGTCTACGCTTGCCTAAGCAGGCTCTTTAGACCACTAAGCTATCTCAGCAGCCCCATGCCTTAGATTTTGGAGGAGACTTGGGACTTAAACTTGTCAGCAATGTTGAAACAGTTCAGATTGTGGCAACTCTTAGAGATAGACTTTTGCATAAAGGGATGTGCATGAGTCTGCGGGACCAGGGTGGAATATTAAGGTTTATGTCTAGATGTACCCCCCAAAACCGCATGCAGTCATGGCCCAGGCTTCTAGAGCTTGTGACTGACTCATGGTCCACTGCTGGGATTATGGGCATGAGCACTACACTTGCGCTGGGCCAGGTAACCTGCGTACAGTATAAGGGAGGGCAAGAGGCTTGTTCCCTGGTGCCTTTCCCATTTTGCCCTTGTGCTTTTGATGTTCTCCACAGCCATAAACTGCTGCCCTCTGCCATGTGCCACTCTGCCCTGGGGCCATCCTGAGTAACCTCCACAAACTATGAGCTAAATAAACGTTTCCTTCCTTAATTCTGGGCATTGGCTATATTGTCCCAGTAATGAGAGAAAAGTAACTAAGGCATTCATGAGTCAGTGGAAGGAAAATACTATTGTCAGTCTGAGGAAGTACTGCTATCCCGAGGTGCTTTTCAAGCCAGGGAAATATTTAGGCCTACCAAATGGCAAAAGACATCTGAAAATTTGCCCTTCCATGCAAGCAATGAAAAAAATAAAGGCCAAGGTTTGTAGAGACTATCCAGGAAGCATATGCTCTCTGGCACTTGTTGTTTATCCTAATCCCATTTCTTACCTCCTGCTTTAGCAGTCACCTGGAAAATAACAGCCCCCAGCGACAAGGTCTTTGGGCAAGTCTCAGGCTAAAAGGATGGGTTGCCCAAAAGCAGTGAAGCTCTCTTTCACAATGCCGGGTCCTAAGGGGCCTCCCTTGGGATCTGCCCCTCTGGAGCAACCATTTCTGAGTCTAATGTAGCCACTCCTAATCTGTGTACGCTGGAGAGTCTTACACATGGATGAGAAGGTGCTCTTCCTGCTGGCTGCCACGGATGCGAGCGCTGCAAGCCCCGCGCAGCCAGCCACAGGCTGAGGCTTCTGCAACTGCAATGAAGTAGCTAAGTGTAGAAACCGTGTTGGGGAGTTTAAGGAAAATAAAGCCTCTTTAAGACACAACAGTCAAAATAATTGAGAGCTCACAAAAGCCTTGAATCAAATGAAGTGTGAAATTCTATACAGAGGAAATGCACCAGGAGGCTTAGCTGAGAAGGACGTGGGTACACCGAGGATGAGACGGCCGGCATCTGCTAGACTGGAACACGAGGTCTTTTCTCATAAGGCCAGCGAACTTATCTGAAAGTAATAGCTGGCAAAAGGAAAACCAAAGTGATAAAGATTATGTAAATTCTGTTGTTGACACAGGATAAGCAAATTCAAAAGAGAAATGAAGCCTGGATTCTTAGAAGTTATTTTGATAC